ATTTGTCATCGTTTTATTCTCAGGTTGTTTTTAGGTTATTAGTTTGATTATTATTGGATTATTCTTGAGTTACTTCTAAGCGTAGTACTTATTGACAGCTATTCCATGTTATTCATGTGCTATTTTTAAATTATTCGTAGGTTATTTATAAGTTAGGCGTATCTTATTCGCTGGTTAAACCTGGGTTATTTTTAGGTTATTTTTAGGTTATTTTTCAGGTTATTCGTAGGTTATTCTTGGGTTATTTTTAGTTTATTCTCAGGTTATTTTTAGTTTATTCTCAGGTTATTTGTTTAAGTTATTTGCAGATTTATGCGCATGTTATTCATAGGTTATTCCTATGGTATTTTTAAAGTATTGTGCATATGTTATTCGTAGGTTATTTGTTGATGTAGTTTTAGGGTATTCCAGTATTGATGACAATATTAATAACATGCATCTTATTCTTGTACATTGATGACTAAAATTTTTTGGTTATTCTAGTGTTAATAACATGCATCTTATTCTTATAAGTTGATGAATAAACAGTCAATGAATTGTATATGCCGACCATCAGCAGTTAGAGAGGTGTTGGATAATGTTCGATTAATTGTTGATCGGGAGATGTGGTCAACTCTGGAAAGAATGAAGCTTAATCAATTTTTTGATTTGCCCCCCTATCCTCAAGATCACATCCTAACTATGCACATATTGAATTGTTGGGATATGAATAGATTGACTTTCAGATTGGGGGGGGAGGGGGAAGAGCTAAGTTTTGATGCAGACCAAGTTGCTTTGTTGATTGGCATGCCCAACAGAGGTTCTACAGCAACTTGGGCTAAAAAATCAGTTAATGACGTAGATGCAAGACGGGCAAAGAGTGAACTATTGGAGAGTTCATCTGCTACTCTTGATGACCTTATTATTACATTTAAATTTTTGTTGTCTAATTTATTATTTCATTCCAGCAATTTTAATGTACCCATTGAGCTCTATTCATTTGCTGAGAATGTAGATAGTTTTTCTTCATTTAATTGGGCCGCAACAGTATGTGACCACCTAATTGAGCAGGTCAATGCTTACGTCATGAAAATAAGGATGGGTCAGTCATTGGGATACATGAACGGCTTTATTTTTCTTCTAACGGTTAATATATTGCTCAACCTCAATTGGAAAATTTTTTTTCATCTTATTTGAGTTATATTAATTTCTGATTTATTAATCGTGTTTATGCAGCTGTGGTTTTATGAGCGCACACTTGTGATAGCCCCGGCTCAACCTGACGCCAGACCTCGTATGTTCAGGTGGCAAAAGGTCCATTTAATCTTTAAACAACATAGTCCTGTACAGGTGAATGATATTAATGTCTGTTTTATGTTTAAGATTATGTTTAGTGTTTTGCCACCTTATTTAATTCTTATGATGAATGTTTTTTGCAGATTCTTGATTCTTTTGTTGATTTAATAGACGAGGAGCATAGTTCACTTGCCCCTCTAGGTGACCCTCTCGTCTGGCCCCCCCTCTAGCTGGCCCACTCTCGTCTCCTGCAAAGTCAATTGGAGAACCACAAAAAAAGCTCCTCACACTCACCAAATAACACCAGTCTCATGGTGATATTTCTTTTGTACATAGTCGCAGCATCCCGCCACTTACACAGTCACATTTGGGTTTAGAAGAGATATGACAAACTCTGAGGGAGAAACAACAAATTTTAGTTCAATTGAAGGATTCAGTAAACAACCTAAGATTTTTTTTGGAGTATACACTGATGGAGGTGAAGACCGACATCAACGAAATAAAGAGAAAAATAAATAAAGTTCCCATGGAATCTCCTGTAGGTTCTGAATTTACTGGGAAGAAAGATAGCTCAGAAAAGGAAGAAGAACCACCTGCTCATATTGAGCAAACGTCAGAACAGGAGTGGGGACCCGATATTTTTGAAGCAGAACAGTCGATATGTAGAATGACTGCCTTTGATGAAGCTGCACCTGATAGTGAATCTAATAAATGTGTCGGGAAACCTGGAGAAGGCATCTCTAAAGACCTAATTGGGAGCTTAGTCCGAAGGATCAAGTCCAGAAGACCGAGGAAAAAGAGTATGATTAGTTCTCCATTTATTGTTGTAAAGAGAAAGAAGCTGGAAGTTCTGTCCTCAAATATTGATGATTTATTACAACATATTTATGAGTCTTCCACGCCGATTACCATACCATCTCCACGGCTCGATGAAACTAGGGAAAATGAGGCAGAAGAAGCTTGGGAGGAGGTACAGCCGGGCGCAATTGTTCCATATGAATGTGCCCTCCCTTGTTCAGCTGTAGAGTTTCCCGGCAGAGAACTACTACCATCACGCATGCAACAGGTGATCGATAGCTGTTTAAGAATGTACAAAGAAATGTATGTACAAAACAAAACATTTTTTCTGTCAATTGTTTATTAAATCTAATAAATATTGTTCAATCAATTTGCAGGGATGACTTAATAATTGCTCAGGGTCACATTCATATTAGCCGAATTGACCTGGAAGCACTTTGGGATAATAAAGAAATCGACGTGGATCATGTAGATTTGTTTGCCATTGGATTAGAAAACCGTCGGCGTCAGTCCCCTAATTCTTTTAGACCCTATTTGTATGTCTCTCGGGCGCATTGGGTAAGTAATAAAATTCCCATTAAGTATGTATATGCAACAATTTCATGCCTTTTTTAAACTCATTTATTATGTATAAGCAGGGGTTTAGAGACCATCCTCTACGAGATATTGTTATCCTCTACGAGATATTGTTGCTCACGTCACAGTGGAAGCTGTAGCTCAGGCAGAGGCAATTTTAGTTCCAATTGTTAATAATAGGCATTGGACTCTACTTGTTGGGAACCAGAAGGACAAGTGGAGATTCTATGACTCATTGCCTAATAAAATGCATTCTGGAGTCACAGATGACGTGGTAAAATTCTAAGCCTCATCTAACTAACAACCGTCACATTCATATTTATTATTTCACTGTTTTAAACAACCATTTGTATTACCAGACATTTGTATTACCAGATTTGTATTACCAGATAAGACATCTTCATAAGGGCGCCGGGAATGCTTTCCGCAGTGACCCGAATAAATGAGATGTTAGCACGACTAGAGGAATTCTCACACAAACTAATAGCGTCAACTGTGGTATATTTGTTTGTAAATATATGGAGACAATTG